AGCATAAATGGTACCACATTAAGCAAATGAGCTCTAATTTTTGTTTTTATTGAAGCATCAGATCCGTGTCGTAATTTTGGAATCATAGCAACTAAAATCATCAAGTTTCGACATCGTATGAGGAATTTATGGTCATTTTACTAAGAATTTGGTTGCCAAATATTTTTCAGATTAATTACGCAATTGTCACTGCATTGGTATTTAAAAATCTGCAATATTTTCAAATATCGAAACCAACATAACTCCTTCATTATAAGGTCAAATGGGGTGATTCAAAAGCCTAACTTGATTGAAATTTTACAAGGAATGCATTGGAGACATCAAAAGCGAGTTTCGGAATCGTTGGTATAAGAAACGAGACAGAAGAACTGGGCAGAAGCATATAATATCGAGAGTTTGTTCATTTGGTCGTATTTTGAGTTGCGGAGCTCGGAATTGGGCGATTTTGGAGGCGACGTTTACCACATAGATTTGGGTAAGTGTTATATACTCGATTTTAATTATATTTCATGAATCCATCTTCGTTTTTGGCATTTGATTAATGATTTCAAAGTGAAATTTGGGGGGTTTATCTAAAATTTCATAAAGTGAGTTTTTGAGTTTTGAACATCGATTCGGAGTCGTATTTGAGTGAAACTAGTATGGTTGGACTCGTAATTGAATGGGTTATCATATTTTGTAAGTTTTGTTGAGTTCCGAGGTGGGGGCACGGGTTTGACCTTTTGGTTGACTTTGGACTTTTGATTAAAGATTCAACCTTTATCGATTGGGTTTGTTTCCTTTGGTATTATTTGATGTTCCTGAGTTACTTTTGGCTAGTTTTTAGCCGTTCGGAGGTTGGTACGCGCGGGATGGCATTTTTAGAGTATTATTTGGCTTGCTCGGTATTGGATTTGGTTTGTTCGAGGTAAGTAACACTTCTAAACTTGGTGCTGAGGGTATGAACCCCTGAATATATGTGTTATGTGTTTGATGATGAGGTTACGCACATGCTAGGTGACAGGCGTGTGGGTGTGCACCGTGTGAATTATGACTCGGTTGATTATGTAGTACTGTGTAGTTACATAATCTTGTTTCTCTCCATGAAATTCCTACGTGTTAAAGTAATTGAGTTGTGATCCATGTTAGAAATCATGTTTAGGCTATATACTGATTCTGTTGGGACCCACTAAGGTCATTTATGTTGTTGAGTTATTTGCTTAAATTATAATTATGTACTCAGTCAAATTCATTCATTTGCATACCATACCTCAGTCTCTGTTATAAATTGTTGTCACATAATATTATTATTATTTGGGTTGTTTGGCATAAGATTTGTGAGCCCGATAGGCTGGAGAGGATGATGGTTGAGTGAGGCCGAGGGCCCGATTGAGAGTAATATTGATGGGATCGGGCTACACGTCGCAACAAGTTTTATTAATTCATGATGGGATCTGGCTGCACACCGCAATAAATATTATTGATTCATGATGGGATCGGGTTGCACGCTGCAGCAAGTATTATTGATCCATGATGGAATCGAGTTACGCGCCATAGCAGGTTTTATTACCGTTTGGGCAAGATCAGCCCCTCCGGAGTCTGACCTACCAGCAGTGAGTGTAGGTACAATAGAATGTTGAGTGACTGAGTATGCTGAGTGATTGAGCGTGATGAGTGGGAGTGCAAGACAGTGAGATTGAGTACTCTTAAAGTGTGAGTACATGACTTCATCACTGTGATGCATTGCATACTTGACATACATGCATAAAGATGCATTTCCTCATGCTACACGGTTTTGTGACATTCATGACTTCACATGCACATCGACATATAGGCATAGAGATGTACTTTCCTCATGCTATCTGAGAATGAAATATCTTATCTGTTGTCAAAAGTTTTTGGGAAAAATCGCAGTTTTTATCTGATATACTCACACTTTGGTAATTTCGGTGAAAGATTTGGATTTTACTGTTATACCTTAAAAGCATGCCTATTTTCCGTAACTATAAACGAGCTGAGCATCATATTTTTGAGTATTACTTGTACTATTTTCTGTATATTGTTACGAGTTGATCTTGGCTGTTGGTGTTGGACTCTGACCGTTGTCCAAGCTCATCACTGCTTTCAACCTAAGGTTAGGTATGTTGTTTATTGAGTACATGAGATCGGTTGTATTCATACTACACTTTGGCAACTTGCGTGCAAATTTTGGAGCTGATGTTGTTGTGTATGGAGGGAGCTAGCATTGAAGATGTATCTGCGTTCCTGTTACACCTGCCTCTCATTCTTGGTAGATTTAGATTTATAAATCTGCTTATGTACATTTCGAACAGATGATGTATTTATTTCATACTAACTTTGTAAACTCTAAATCTTAGAAGCTCATGATTTGTACTACCAATGCTTGGGATTTTTGTATAAAAGTACAGTTATTTTATCATTTATTTTCTCAGTAGATCTCCTTGAGTTGGATTATTAATAAATTGGCTTACCTAGCGGGTTGAATTAGGTGCCATCATGACTAGTTGGATTTTGGGTCATGACACATATATTAAACTACCAATAGCACTAGCATAGTCTAATTGACTAACAGATCTTCCGGGGTTCTCAACCATCTTGCTAGAAACGTCAAATAGAGTATTAAATTCTTTAATATCCAAATGATTAAATTTGGAAAGAACCTTGTCAATGTAATGAGATTGACATAAGGCAAAACCCCCCACTATGTCTTTTAGCTTTAACACCTAAGATAATATCAACTTCTCCTAAATCTTTCATTTTAAATTGAGAATTTAAATGCTTTTTAGTTTCATTTATGCCTTGCATGTTAGTTCCTATGATTAGCATGTCATCAATATAAAGACATACTATCACTCCATAATTCTTTGTGGATTTGGAATAAATGCATTTATCTGCTCCGTTATGTTTAAAACCATTTGATAAAATAACACTATCAAATTTTTCATGCCATTATTTTGGATCTTGTTTTAATCCATACAAGGACTTAACTAATTTATAAACTTTCTTCTTATTTCCAGGAAGCACAAACCCTTCGGGTTGCTCCATATAAACTTCTTCAAAAAGATCACCATTTAAGAATGTCGCCTTAACATCTATTTGATGGACATTTAGATTATACATTGATGCCAAAGCAAACAATACTCTTATTGAGGTAATCCTGGCCACATGAGCATATGTGTCAAAATAATCTACTCCTGCCTTTTGTCTAAATCCTTTGGCTACTAGTCTAACTTTAAAAGATTGTAGATGAGTATTGTATTTTCTTCTGAAAATCCATTTACACCCAATATGTTTAGTATTAGAAGGTAAATCTGCCAATACCCATGTACTATTTGATAAAAGAGAATCCATTTCATCATTTACAGCTTCTTTCCAGAAAGCCAAATCCCGCAAAGCCATAGCCTCACTATAGGTTTTAGGATCCTCTTCTAAATTTAAAATAAAGGGTATTTTATTTAATACTCCATCTCTATTTCCTTCTACCAAAAAGACTAGTGCTTGAGAAGAAATAAAATCAGAACGTATATTTTTCTCCTTTCTAACTACTTGACTTTTCTTTGGTTCTACAGGAGATTCAATTGTCTTTCTTTTATTATTAGAAGAAGAACTAGGCTCTGCACAATTTTCTTGAGTTACTGCATTATCACCAATTCTTGTTGCATTACCCACCTTCTTTAGTAAATTATGTATCCTCGTGTGAACTATTAGAATCACCAATAAATTTTGTTTTCAAGAACTCAACATCTTTAGATTCCACAATATATTTAGACTCAATGTCCAATAATTTGTATGCCTTTGAGTTCTCAGCATATCCTACAAATATGCTTTTAATTCCTCTATGTCCTAACTTAGTTCTTTTAGGATCTGAAATTCTATAATAGGCTAAACAACCCCCTTAAGAAATTTAAGTTAGGCTTTCTTCCTTTCCATAATTCATATGGTGAAACCTTAAACTTCTTTGAAGGTACTCTATTGTGCACAAAACAAGCCGTTAACAAAGCTTCCCCCCACAAATTCGTTGGTAACTTTGCATGTAAAAGCATGGCATTTATAACCATATCTACCAACGTTTTTTTTTTTTCAGCAAGACCATTTGTCGTGGGGTATACAGTGCACTGACTTGGTGAATCAAATTATTTTCTTCACAAAATACAAAATATTTATTGAAAAGATATTCGCCTCCTCGATCACTACGTAGGATTTTAATCTTCTTTTCCAATTGATTTTCAACTAATGCTTTGTAACTCTTAAACATATCAAGGTTAAGATATGGATATATGGGATTATATATTTGATCCTGTATTTTTGACACTCGAAGGGAGGGGTGGAGTGACACTATGGGTGGGTTTCATATACTCGTACAATTTATCTGATAACCTTACACGGCTACACACAACATAACTTGCAAGCGTTCTTAATTTTAGCCTGAAAAATTACATGTCTCTTGCCCCAACTTGATTGGCCTGCCAACCTTGCGTTTTGGATTTTTGATTATTGAAAAAACAAAAGATTTAACTTTGATGTAGAGTGTAGACTGAAAAGGTATAAGTTTTTAAATATTATTAACGTAAAGTAATTTGCAACAATAAGTTTGTTTATTTAAAAATACTACTAGTAATTTTAATTAAAAAATACTACTCCTTTTTTAGTCGGCTAAAAAGAACGGCATTATTTTCTTTTTGCCAATTCAGAATTTTTATTTTAGCAACATTTTACATACCCTTTTTGTCTATTTTATGTGAAGGCATATAAAACAAATAAGACTATTAAAATTTATGTTCTTAAACATGTTATGATATTTTTATAGCTACGTAATCATCTCATGAAAAAATAAAGTATAAAAAAATTAAAGATGAATTATTTCTAAGCACAATATTTTTTAGGAATGGACTAATTTCACAATTAAAATTGGACAAATAGAAAAGAAAAAAAAAAAGTTTAACCTTTGTGGGAGAGGGTGTCTGTGAGTGAGAGAGAGAGAGAGAGAGATAACATACAAAGATAGGGGGATAGTTTGCACTTTATTCTCTTCAAGTTCCATACTCCACTTTGTTGTAGCAAAAAACGAGGTTTTGTTTCTTTCTGTCTTTCCTTCTCTTTTTTTAGCCTTACTTTGTCTTGTGCTAAACTTAAAAGTGATTGCTGTCTCTCCCTTGGTCTTTCTGTTGTCTTGCTTCCTTTTTCTTCTCTTACAGTCCTACTATATACTGCAACGTGTGTAAATTCTACTGTAACGTTATTATAGATTAGTGATTTTGCCAACAAAGAAATAATCTTTGAAGAGTGCTCATTCTCAAGTTGCTAAATCATTTTTGGTTTTTGGTCATTTACTACACAACAATTAGTCAGAAACTGAAGTAGCACAAAGACAGACTTTCCAGATTTTGATTTTATTTGGATCACTCTGAATATATGTAATTCAGAATTATTTGGAAGAGGGGGAAGGGAAGAAATAGTGACAGAGAAAATGAGGGATGAATATTCCAAGAAAATCAAGGTGAATTCTTCTAAAAGAATCTTTTTCCTTTTGCTTTCATTTCTTGGAAAATGCAATTTTGGAGTTTTGTTTTTGTGCTAACTCAATTATTGGTTTCCTGACATTTTCCCCTTTGATTGTTGAAGCTGTCCTGGTCAAGAAAATTAGTTAGGAAATGGTTCAATATTAAGGGCAAAATTGAAGAATTTCAGTCTGATGAATCTGTCTGTGGAGGTCAGCATCTAATTTCCTCTAGCTTTGAGCCAATTTTTTCTATATATAATTCAAGTTTGAGATACTGGATGGTGGTTTGAAGAAGATTAACGTGAAAAATTTTTGAGAAAGAGGGGGTGGGGGAAAAGGAAATAGGAAAGATTGGGAGGGATAAGATTTACCAAAATTAGAGCCTCAAATCAAGAGATACATATTCCATTAAGTTGTTATAATTTTTAAAAAAAATTATTATGTAGGATAATTATTTGAAAATATTTATATAAAGTGTAATTAGGGCTCTTAAATCATCAGGAGGTGTAAAATTTCATATCCTATATTTCATTGTCCTAAAAAACAAATAAATACTTTCAAGTTCAATCAATAAACCAAGAACAATTAAAACTATTTAACGTGTGTATATGTGTGTGTGTGTGTGTGTATTGCTTTTTCCTCCTTTTCCTTGTTCTTTTCTTTTTGTTTGTATTGTTTTGGGTTGGGGGGTTTGTTGTNTCCATTTGAGGGTGTCAAACTTTGGGAGATGGATATTTATCTCTAGCTGCACGATATGTTTATGGTGATTGGTGAAGGGATTGTTTCAAAATTTGAAATTCAAGCCTTATGAGAAAATTCCTAAAAATTATTGGAATTGTATTTATTTATTTATTTATTCTCTACCTCCAACCAAAATTGATGGCTCTCTTCCCTAAAGATAATGTAAAATACAGTCATTCCTAATTTTGCAATTTGTTAACTGTTAGAATCATGGTTGATTTTTACCAACGTCACCAACTCTTCAATTGGGAAGTAATGTTAATCTTCCCTTCTTTAGGAAGTTATGAGTGGAGAAGAAGCATATCCGACTGGGAGCATTGCACAATGAAGAAGAGTAAAACAGGTAAGTGGCATGATCGGTACTCTAGATGCATATAATGCCCAACTGTGGTATATAAGAGACTCTTGTTCAATGATTTAAACTAATTCTAGTTTCTTTGCCCTCTCAAATGACCAGAAAAATCAACCAGGGGTATGGAACATCCCGCACGGAGAAGTGTCGATCTTGATCGTCCACAGATTATAAATGTACATAATTATAGGTTTGCCTTCTTGATATATCCAATAGATATTCCAGATTTTGTCTCTTTTGCCTTTATAGTCACTGGTCAGTGACAACATCAATATTTTTTGGTACCCAGTTACTAATATTTTTAATTTCATATTGCTCAGAGTCTTTGTGTCTACATGGAATGTGGGCGGAGAATCACCACCGAGCAATTTGAATCTAGATGAATGGCTTCATTCCTCACCCCCTGCAGATATTTATGTACTTGGGTATGTGCTATACGATTTGATTCTCATTTTTTTTTCTTTCCAAAGTTTGTCATTTACCACAGTAGCTAAAACATCTTTTGGGTTACATTTTACCATAGTTGACTGCAATATTGTTCGTTGTTGCATTTTCAGATTTCAGGAAATAGTTCCGCTAAATGCTGGTAATATTCTGGGAGTTGAAGACACTGGCCCTGCCAAAAAGTGGATTGCTTTGATCGGGAAGACATTAAACAGCAGTCCTGGTACTAGTGGAGGTAATGGTTACTACACTTCTTCTCCTGTTCCAGATCCAATTGCCGAGTGGAATGCTGACTTTGAGGGGTCAAAAAGACACAAGGCATCGTCCTTCTTTCATCGCCGGTCATTCCAGACTCCTCAATGCGGGAGCATGGAAAATGATCCATCCACCTCGCAACCTCGCATGGATGGACGATACAGTGTTTGTGATCGAGTAATTTTTGGTCATAGGTCTAGTGATTTTGATCCTAATATTAGGTGGGAGCAGAGGCAAAGTGACTATTCTTCTGCTCACTGGCCAAGTGATTATTCATCTTGTCACAGGCCAAGCGATTATTCATCTGGTCATAGGCTTAGTGACTATTCCTGCGGACAAAGGCCAAGTGATTTCTCCAGATGCGGCTCGTCAAATGATGATTATGGACCTGCAGATTCGCCAACTACTTCGTTTTCACCTGTCACAAATGGAGGGTACGCTCCTATGGAATATGGTTATAGAATGCCCAAAAATTCAACCTACTGTTTAGCTGCAAGTAAACAAATGGTTGGCATTTTTCTCACTGTATGGATGCGGAGTGATTTGAGGGAACATGTTCGGAATATGAAAATATCATGTGTTGGCAGAGGGTTGATGGGTTACCTTAGGAATAAGGTAATTTTTAAGTGCAGAAAAGCTTGGTCATTTTTTGGCTGATTTAGAGATTTGCACATCTCGACTTAGAAAAGAAATACTTAACGTAACGTGCAATTCCATGCTTGGTTTTGCAGGGATCTATTTCAATCAGTATGCAGTTCCATCAGACAAGCTTTTGCTTTGTTTGCACTCACTTAACCTCTGGTCAAAAAAAGGGTGATGAGTTGCGCAGAAATTCTGATGTCATGGAGATCCTAAAGAAAACGAGATTTCCACAAGTTAATGGTGCAGGTGAAGAGAAGTCACCAGAGACTATACTTGAACACGAGTAAGATGACTGTTTACTTTGTCAAAATAACTCCAGTTGTTTTATGAAGATAATTGAGGGGAAAAGGATGGAAAGGCTTGAGTTTAATATAGTTGTTTCCATGTAAAACCATGCTCAGTTTACATTTTTTAATTTGTTTAATCTGAAATATTCAATGCATCCATTTTCTGATGATTATCCAACCTTTTTCAGCCGGGTTATTTGGCTTGGGGATTTGAACTATCGGATTGCACTTTCTTATCGTTCTGCAAAAGCACTTGTTGAGATGCAAAACTGGAGAGCATTGTTGGGAAATGACCAGGTGTCCTAACAATCTTGTGTTTTTCCTCCCACTCCTTTACCTGAACTTAATTTAGTTTGAAATCGTCGTAGGACAATGTTCAAGTGATCTTGTTTTCTATTTCCTTGACAGCTGAGGATAGAACAAAGACGTGGTCGAGTTTTTGTGGGATGGAAAGAAGGAAAGATATTTTTTCCACCAACATATAAATATTCTAGGAATTCAGATATGTATGCTGGGGAAGACATTCAACCAAAGGAGAAGCGTCGCACACCTGCATGGTTAGTGTTATTCTTTGACTATTAAAAAATAAATAGTTCTCAATCTAAAATCGCTATGCAATCCTTAAACAAAAGCATTAAAAATAATAACAAACTAAAAAAGAAGAATAATTTTGCATCCCTTTATCAAAATATCTACTGAAGATTTATCTATTAAGTTTAGAACTAATATGTGCAATTTCCATCTGAAGGTGTGATCGGATTTTGTGGCATGGAAGGGGTTTCCAACAGTTGTCTTATGTGCGTGGGGAATCTAGATTTTCAGATCATAGACCCGTTTTCAGTATTTTTTGGGTTGAAGTTGAATCAGTACACAGTAGATTGAGGAAAATGAGTTGTTCAAGCTCAAGAATTGAGGTGGAGGAGCTCTTGCCCTATGCACATGGTTATACCGAGCTTTGTTTCTAATTCTGAAGTAGAATGAGGACATAAAGCCTCAGTATTCGGTAGATACTCCAACTTTTAATGGCTAGCTTACCTTGAGATGGAATGAGGATTCACATTCTTCTCCTTCAAGTTAACATTGCTTTAGGAGCAAAATATTAATGTTTCATTAACAAACTCCAACTTTCACACAAGTGTCATCTTTCCTCCATTGTGTTAGGTAATTATGCTATTTATTTGGTCCTAATAACTGTCAACTGTACGTACAACACAAGCTTGTAGCTTGGTTGCTTGGTTTGGTGCCTTTTGGTGAGATTGTGGCCAGCCATGTAAGAGACACGGCGTATCAACATGCTGGAAATCTGAGCTCATGAGCTATGGTTTTGAGTCTACTTTCTTTTGGATACTAAGTATTTTTTGGGGGGGGGAATTTTAACAGGATGAACTTAACCAACAGTTAGAAGGATTTCCAAGTGGGAAAATGATAGTTCTGTTCCAAGATTCTTTATATATTAGTTAGGTATAGAAATTCAATGACGTGAAGAGAATGAGATATGGTGCAAATTAATCGTGTTTCAGTTTTGCCTTATGTTTCAATGAAGAAAAGGCAGAGATCTGATCATGTGTTGTATACTGTTTACTCCATTACTATGTAGCGGAAAAACATATTACTTTACTTTTTACTACTTCCTAGTACTATAATGAGAGTTGATCTGGCAAAGGAAAAGAAAGAAGACAGCCGACGGTGAAACTCTAACGATTAAATACGGAAGAGAAGAGCATTATATTGAGAATAATGACTATTACTTTATTCTTTATGTTAATAAGAAGACGTTGGATGGTGTGAGTATAAATAAAATGGTGTTTGTAAGAATTTGGAAGGTATAATTTATGTGCTCTAATTTTGAAAAAGTCACCCAACGTTTTCTATTCTTTTGCGAAAAGGTAACACGTTTGAAAACAAAGTAAACAATAGGCATTAGATACTAATACGAAGGACCACACCTTTTCAAGTAAATTTAGCATTTTTGTGCAATTTTTTATATGTAAGATATTTAAATTATTTAGAAGAGTATTTTGGTAATTCAACTTTTGACTTAAGGGCTTCCCACTTATAATATAATTAGTTTCTCGACACGTGCGTTCCCAAAGGGCACGGCCAAGTCCAAGATGAGCACGACCGTCATTCGTAAGGAGCATTCTTTGGGCAGATAGGAGCCAATGAAGACCTCATGCCCATTGCGTTTACCGAATCCGAGAGTCCGAGCATACTAGTCATGGACCAGACCATCGCACAACGAAGCGAGGACGAAGTGGATGTGGAACTGTAATTGATCATCCTCAACTTTCTTCTTCTTCGTGAAATGAAATGAAGAGAAAGAAGGTGCCCGGCCTGCACGTGTATATAAGTTATGTAATATATGATTCTGCGTATTTTTTAGGATATATGTAATGAAACCATATCCTGAATAAGTTGCTACGAACTCATTATAAGTGTGCATTGTTCCTAGTTGTTGCATTAAGTACTTTAAAATTTAATCACGGTTGAACTAAGAAAGGTTATGCCACTTCTCCAATTAATAGACAACTTACTATTACCACATTGAATCTTCGTCATAGAATTTCCAATTGTAAGTTTGGGTTGCTACTGTCAGTAATTACTAATTATAAGACTTCAGTCTCATCCCTCTTGAAAATTTTGCTACTTGCTTTTTGGCAATTTCTTTCGTCATCTTAAATATTTCTTGAAAACCGAATGTAATCCAACGTGATTACTCTGTTGGAAATATTCAATCTCTAATTATTTTCTATCTCAAGCTCAGATTTCTCTTTCGCTCACTCAAAAATATCTTGTTGCATTAGCAATTGTGGCGTCGTCACATCAATGCTTATCATGTCGAAATTCCATATGTATAAATAAATGAGATAAACAAAATAAACTGGTACTCATTTTTGCTCTCGATATTTGAATTGCAATAAACATATTGGGACGTATCGGAGGGAGTATGATGTTACCTCACATATCAAAAATTATTTTTTCATATTCAAACTATTTAAATATAAACATAGTTCTCAAATACATGATAACATGACACATCACTTTATAAGCTCGATTATATTCTATATAGCTTCAACATCTCTTTGAGGTGGCAAAGAATTCACACGCTATTCAGTATAATCCCTATATTTTTATATATCAACATATGAACCTCAATCCTAGTTATTATGCATGTAGAAGCATAAGACACATTTATATACTATGCAATCCACAAAATATTATCAATATGGTTTAATATGTATAATTTTGCATAAAATAGAAATATCTAAAATGATGAAACGTTTATCATATTTCAGTTAGTGTCCACATAGAACCCAATAACTCAAAGATGTAGTTCCTGATCATATAAAAAAATAAAATTAATTTATTAAAAATCTGCAACCTCTTAAAAAATAATTCTAAAGAGGAATATCATTTTCTTTTCATGATCTCAGATGACATAAACAATAACTTTCAAGTATAGATATGATCCTTTCAAATAATATACTTTATATCATTTCACTACTTGAAAATAAATTTCACATGATTTCATTCATGAAAATAATATATATATATATNCACAGAAGGTATGAAATTAATAGGAATAAGTAAAAGAATATGACTAAGAAAGTAGAACCTGATTTTCATTATCGCTCTCTTTATGAATCCATGCTTTGGAGATGATCTTCTTCCAAAATTGTGGCATCAAATATTTCTAATCATGATCTGAAAAAGAAGAAAAAATTAAAATCATATATCTCATGAGCATTATGACAATTAAATATTCCTCTGAGTTGCAGCAACACTGGTCGATGATCCATACTTTTGAAATTGCGTGGCTGCGAAATGCATGTATTTAAGTCACTGCATATATAACAAGCCAGATTAAAGGTTGATATGAACGTGTTAGATTTAGAATCCACCGAATCATTAACACCAAAGCAAACCATGAGAAAGAGAGATACTTGTTAGACACATCCTTTATTTGTCCAATCTTACAATAAATATGTCCATGAAAATCCGATCTTCGTGCTGGCAAAATATTATGCAGAGTGCTATTTTTCTTCTCCGTCGGAAAGAAGATGACTGTTTGAATGGTTATGATTTTCTAATGAAGGGGTACGAAGGTTTGGAGGTTATTTGTAGCCATATATAGGAGGGTAATTAGATTTTAGGAAGGGTAAAAAGATAAATTAACTTTTAACTTAAGGGCTTCCCGCTCTTAATATAGTATTAGCCTTAGGGTACGCGCTTTGCGCGTGTGTTTCCCATGTCAATAAATAAATATATTTTTTTAAAATTATATAAATTAATATTAGTAAATAATATACTTGAATTCTAAAATAAAAATAAAATAGATAACTTTCTAAAAATATAAATGTTGATCCCATTTAGCAGCCAAAATAAAGGATGAAATCTTGTAAATGGAAGTCTTCAAAGAATGATAAGAATAACTTATAAAAATTATTGTTGATTTTTTCCTAATATAGAAACAAACAAGTAAAAAAAATACTTTTACTACGATAAATTTTCAAATAATACAAATTGATAAGTGGTATTATAAACTTTAAAGATGACTAATATTTAATTTATAATTTATAATAAATAATATAGTATATAATATATATATATATATAAGGAGCTGTCATTTGCTGGAATATTTATGGGGGGAAAAGAAAATCAATTAATGACAGCTCATTTAGAATATATTTTTATCTTTTACTATTTTTTCCTTATTGCTTCAAGTCTGCAAATATTAATAGAAAAATAATTATTGAGTGCATTATTGAGTAAAATCTACTCATTTAGAATACATTTTTCTTTAAGATTCTGCAAGCTGAAATAATTACTGAGCGTAATTTTTAAATATTATATAAAAATTCAATAGATAAAATTTAAGTGGATTTTGAAGTTCTAAATTTTAAGATTAACATACAATGTGTTATAGTTATGTTGCATAGTCCAAATAAGGAAAGAATTTATTTAAGATAAAATCTTTATTGATTTAAACTTTTAATTATTAGATTTTCTACATAATTCAAATAAAAAAATTTAATAATCAACATTTTAACTGATTTAGAATTCTACATATTTTAAAATTACAGTAATTGTTTCCAATGATTATGTTTATGTTGTTTCCAGACTATAGTGAGCTATATATTTATGTTTTTTTATTACTTTTTCATATATTTCACATACATTATTTTAAAATATGATTTTTAAGTTTTTCATGGTATTTAGAATTTTAGATGGTTAGAATGGGTTAAAGATTATAGGTAGTCAAAAAAGACTACATTTTAATGACATAAGTATATTTTTCAAGAAAATAATTATATAGACTACACTTTAATTTGGGAGAAAAGTATGCCTTTAATGGAATCATAAAATGCTTCATGAAATCTGATATGTACGTTTCTAATTAGTTTCTATAAATAATTTGTTCAATTTGATTTATTTTGATGTCCTAATTATTAGGATTTCCTATGTAGTAGTTTAAATAAGGAAAACTTTAATAAGCAACATTTTAGTTGACTTAAAAGTGCTAAATATTAGGAAAATAATTAAATGACTATATTATCCAGTGTAACCTCTATTTTAAAAGAGTAAAAAAGGCGAACGATATTTCACTAAGTACATTCGTGCTTTTAATATAGTACTAGTTTTAGTACACGTGCGTTGTGTGTCGCGTCAATTAATAAATGATTTATATGTAAGAAGAACAAATTATTAAAACATAGAAATTTATATCAAAAAAAATTAAATATTTGCTTAAATGTTAAGGAATGAGAGCAAAATAGAACAATATAGTAATGGAGACAAGATATATAGGAGGAGCATGTAAAAATTATCTTATAGTGTGTTTCTTGTATATACTTCCATGGACAAAAAGTGTCGTATTTATAGTATACAAGATAACACCTAAAATTTACCAGATACATCTTAAGAATGAATAGGTACATCTATCTAAGTAGTACATTGAATAATATGTATAGATGGATTAATGAATATCCATATACATTCACTTTATTTCATAACACTTCCCCTTGGATGTTCATTTGAAAAAACCTAGTGAAGGAAAAAGAGTACACATATCTTGTAATACGCATTGAGTGCTGCCTCATTAAAAACCTTACAAGGAAAACCCAATTGGGACAAAACCTTAGTTAAGGAAAAAAGAGTACAACACGTATTATACTCCCTCTCATGAAAGCTTTATTTGATATCACGGAGATGATCTCAGCTTCTCAAATGTTGATGTTGGCAATACCTTAGTGAATAAATCTGCTAGATTGTCACTTGAACAGATTTGTTGAACATCTATCTCACCATTTTGCTAAAGATCGTATGTGAAAAAGAACTTTGGTGAAATGTGCTTTGTTATGTCTCCTTTGATATATCCTCCTTTAAATTGAGCTATGCAAGCAGCATTGTCTTCATACAATATCATTGGAATCTTCGTTTTTAAAGAAAGACCACACAATTGTTGAATATGTTGAGTCATTAATCTCAACCATACACATTCTCGACTAGCTTCATGAATAACTATTATCTCTGTATGATTGGAAGATGTAGCAGCTAAAGTT